GCATAGCCGGTTTTTGTTACCGTTTTGGGTGTCTCAAGGACGTTTAAGGAGACATGCTGGCCTCTTACCTGTCTCGGTGTCAATTTTCTGTCTGAGAGAGAAAGTGAGACAACAGCATCGTCTGAAGGATGGGATTTTAACTGGCTTTAATAGTCTGTGTAATTTGAACGTTTCGGGAAGTGGAACGACTTCCGAGTCTTGGTTTTGCGACCGGGAACCAGCTATTATTCTAATGTTGACCAATGGCACTTAAACCTGGTGAGTAGGGGAGGGGGAGGGGCAGCTGACACCCGTCTAGCTTCTAAATGCCTTTTTCCTTCCGATCCTTCCGAGCCATTTGTGATCCCCTTGACCCGTTTCTATCACCTAAATACGGGTTTCTTGGCTAGTTGACATATCTCACCTGTCTACTGTCGCGGGTGTTCTTGGATCTGGTCGTCTCCCAGCACTTCCGATTAGTACACGCCATTTTTTGCTTTCTAGATATGAAGACACTTGCACACTATTTAGCCTGACAGAATTCATTTTCATTTGCCATACGTCTGCTCGCCAGTGCCCATCTTATAGTGAGACGTTGAATTCTTTCAGTCTGCTAGCCTAGCCCAACTAATCTGACGTTTAATGGGAATTCAGGGCTTACCTGTTGTTTAGTCGGATGTGATTGCCTATTATTTCAATGGTAATCAATTACGGCTAGAATGCAGACAGTGTAATACGGGGAATCCGCAACTGAAGAGAAAAGGATAGCAGTTTTATTTTTGTGCCCGAAATCTCCGGTCAACGTTGACACACTTTCCCAGGTGCCGATTCTGGTGAAACAATACATGAATGACTACATTGTTGGATAAAACTGCGCGTAGCTTGGCCCAAACGTGATTTACCTCCGAGTGGGACCTAGTAGTTCGGGTCTTTAGGGTGTTGGCGGTACTCAAGCCCTGCCTCCTAATATTGTGGGTTCGAAACATACTGAGGTCGCCGAGTCCTTCACGACTGGGTCAAATAAAAACTACGAAAAAGTACGAAGTGACAAGTTACAGAAAGGAGGGATTGTTGGTTAAAATGCATTCTTTAGAAAAACGCACCAGTCTGCCAATGCGGTTCTGCAGGCTGCAGAGGGAGGGAGGGAGGTGGATGGGGGTTGCATACCTGGTATAAGAAGTGATTTGAACTGCCGCGGCAGATCTACTGCCAAGTTTTCTCCTTTGTGCTCAAGTTGAGACCGCGGTTGCACCTGTTATTACTTTCTTCTTTTTTGCCGTTTTCTGCTGGTAACCATAAACTGTATTTCCCACACTTTAGACAAGTCGGTCTATCGCGTGAAAGCGACCGGCGTCGAGGTTGCCGACTCCTGGGAGAAGATGAGCAAGTCCAAACTGAATGGCGTCGAACCAGCCGCAGTTGTCACCAGGCACGGTCTGGAGCTGACTCGCCTCACGATGCTTGCGAGCGTTGGACCACACTCTGCTCGCGAGTGGAATGAAGGCGAAAGTGAGTTCGTCACCACCGCAAGCGCCACCAACACGGCCGCCATCACCACCACAACTGCTACCACCGGCATCATCATCATCATCATTGTCACCACCAGCAGGATTTGTTCTTTTTGGTCGCCGCCTAGTCCACCTCTATGGTGTTAGACCATACTTGCGCGCTGTGTGGGGCGAGATGCCGGCAAACTGTCTGTCTCGTTCAAAGGAGGGAAAGTGCTTTAACAGAAAGCCTTCTCATCTTTGAACTTGGCCATCAGACGCGGTTACGTACCC